TACTTTTGGAATTACTTGTTGTATATTAAAAATTCCCTTAAAACCCCCCCCCAAAAAAAAAACTCATGAGGCAACACAGACCCCAAATTACAATTATAAAACCATTCACAGTTAACGGCAAGACTTTTGCCAAGTGTTATTCTTATCTCTTCCCTATTCAGAGCTCTGAGGTCTTCCTTATCAATTTGTGGATTTCTCATAGGATATCAGGATAGCATCCAAATTATGTATATCTAAAAATCAGCAAATGTTGCTCAATTGTAACATGCGCAATATATCTTGGCTATGAGGTATCCCCCAAAAGTTCCTGTGTTGATATTCAGAGGTGAAATGATTAGATGATGAGAGCTGTATCCTAATCAGTGGACTGATCCATTTGATAAATTAAAAATACTGAGCAGTAACTATAGGCAAGTGGGTCATGACTAGAGGAAATAGGTCACTGGGAACATACAGTAGAGATTTTATATTTTGTCCCTGGTTCCTTGCACACCCTCTGCTTCCTAGCCACCATAAGCTGATTAACTTTCTTCCCTCACACCCTTCTACCATGAAGTCCTGCTTCACCTCAGGCCAAGAGCAACAGAGTTGGCCAAACATGAACTGAACCTCTGAAAATAATGTGCCAAAATAAACTTTTCCTCTTCTGAGTTGTTCTTATAGGGTATTTTGGTTACAGCAACAAAAAAGACTACTAACATGATGGGAAAGAGAATCATTCCCTACTAGTTCCTAATGGAATCAGGGACTGGGGATATAGCTCAGTTGATAAGAGTGCTTGCCTCACATGCAGGAGGCCCTGGGTCCAAGCCCCAGCACCACAGGGGGTAGGGAGAACCTCTAATGGAAACAGGTATTCCTCCTTGATCCTGACTGACCCTATCAGGGGACAGCGAGGGAAGGTAGCACAAACAGAGGATATAGGAGAAAGCCCTCATCCTGGTCTTGGCTCTGCCTCTAATTAGCTGCATAGCCACAAATGAGAAAAATCACAACCATCTCAATTTCTTGTCTCTAGATAAGAACTTTATGCTGGTTCGTCTCCAAGCTGCTAACAATTTTCACAGGCTGATTTGACAGAATGATCTCCAAGGAGGCTTTATAGCAGAAGATATGCTCTAACTAAATATCTGGGTATTAGAAAATTAACCAGAAGTAGAAATAACCTGTAAAGCCTGGGAACGTGTTCAGAATGGATCAGGTGTGGCAGGGGCAGTGACGAGGAAAACCTATTAAAGATTAGCTTATTTTAATTAAATATTAAAGCTAAACATACCCAAAAACG